TTTATAATCGTAGCAACAGACCTCAGATGAGCCCAGACGCTCTGCGGCTCTTGTTTACAATTCTTGGGCCGGATTTTGTCGCGCGAAAAATACCCCTTTACCGGAGATTTTGGGAACGCGCATGCGGTCTTTCCGACCTCGGAGTGGGGGGGCCGGGCAATAACCCTGGTCTTCTCATTCTCATGGCAGCATATACATTCAGGTGCCGTACTCATTAATTCACAAACACTACAAGAACACCAGTATTTGTCTACAGTCCTATCTGGTACCGAAGCTTCCATTCCGCCATGAATTGTGACTTCTGATTCTCGAGAAGTGTGTGCCGACTCTTCCCGTTGCTTTTTCAGACAATTCTCCTCCACTTCTTGTGTATATTCATGCTCAAACCTATATCCAACTGGTAAATCACTATAAATATCATCATCATCTGAGTAATCACTAGAATCATTGAAATTATCGCTTTCTATCTTCATCTTATACACCACACGCACTATGTTTACATAATGGCGTGTTTCAACAGGGTGCTGTGACGTCACATGACCTAGACTAATATTCATGTGTTTCTTACTGCGGATTTGAACTGCGGGCGCCGGATTTGAAATGGAATACGTTATTGAATGTATTTCTATGTATAAAAACGTTACAGAAGTTATAAAATTTGACTTCAATTGTCCTTTAATGTTTCTATACTATAGGCCTACTCTCTTTTACCTATTATTGCCGATAGTTTCCTACCATTGCATTACCGGCAGCCATTAATTGCTCTCGCGGCGCGACTGTTGCACGCTTGCACTAATATATAGAGTATATTACTGCTTCTCTATTCTTATTCTCTATTCTTATATTAACATGTGCTTCTCTATATATTAGTGCAAGCGTGCAACAGTCGCGCCGCGATAGCAATGGCTGCCGGTAATGCAATTTGGTAGGAAACTATTGGCGATAATAGGTGAAAGAGAGTAGGCCTATAGTATAGAAACATTAAGAATTTTGTACTATAGATTTCGTATTT